TCTCCTGCATTCTCTCTCTTCTCATGAACGAAGTGAAAATGTAACTTTTGCATTAATTAGGTAGGGTAACTTCCTTCTTGGGACATTGCATTTGGGAGTTTTTGCATCTCGGGTCCGAGATTTTTTTATTATAATCGTTTTTTAAAATCAAATAAATATTCATAATTAATTTTGGGGGATTTGGGGGGCCAAATAATATTGCTTGCGGGCCAAGCCAGTTGGGGAACCCTGCTTTAAGGAGACCAGAGCTATGTAGAGTTTGTCTACCGTTCATGAGGCCCAGGGGAGTGGAACTGTGGTCTAATAGGCTCTAACTGTGGCCTAACTAGACTCTAACTGTGGTCTAACTGGGCTCTAACTGTGGTCTAACTAGGCTCTAACTGTGGTCTATATAGACTAACTGTGGTCTAAACAGACTAACTGTGGTCTAACTAGGCTCTAACTGTGGTCTAATAGGCTCTAACTGTGGTATATCTAGGCTTTAACTGTGGTCTAACTAGGCTTTAACTGTGGTCTAACTAAACTAACTGTGGTCTAACAAGACTAACTGTGGTCTAACTAGACTCTAACTGTGGTTTAACTAGACTAACTGTGGTCTAACTAGGCTTTAACTGTGGTCTAACTAGACACTAACTGTGGTCTAACAAGACTAACTGTGGTCTAACTAGGCTTTAACTGTGGTCTAACTAGACTAACTGTGGTCTAACTAGACTAACTGTGGTCTAACTAGACTAACTGTGGTCTAACTAGACTCTAACTGTGGTCTTTTGTAAGTCGCTCTGGATAAGAGCGTCTGCTAAATGATGTAAATGTAAATGTAAATGTCTAACTAGACTCTAAATGTGGTCTAACTAGACTAACTGTGGTTTAACTAGACTAACTGTGGTCTAACTAGACTAACTGTGGGCTATATTTGTTACATTATATTGTGCATATAAAGGTAAACAGTGATGTTAAACAGTTAAGTTTTTACAGCTATCAATACATATTAAATGAAAGCAGTTTTCTATTTTTGCTTCCATTCTGTTCCATATGTAACATGTGTTCATTCAACTGATTAAATACATCTATATACTGTGATCCAGGTATGTCATTTACTTGTCAGGTACACTCCAGTGTTTTCCTTCTAAATGGTGTCAGTTTTTAGTTGACATAGCACAGTTTTTTTTAGATAACTCTTTAGATAATAGATAGAAAATAGTCCTTATCAGTAAAGGTATAGCAGTACCAGAATTGACCACTAGATGGGTTACGTAATCTATGGAAAGTGGCCGATTCTGATTCAGGAATGTATGCCTTTTCCTAAGACTTCTCATTATTTAGTATTCACACTGACCTTATTCAGTCGCGGAATGTGCTCTGCAGTTGTGGCTTCATTGCGCGTTCTGAATGCATTTCATTCAACCACTGAAAATCCTCCCATTTGCTGGCTAACCGTTTTTCTCGTGGAGTTTTCATTCAATAGGGTTTTCAGCACATTTATCTTAAGACATCCCTTTAAATACGCTGTAACTTTTAGTTAGAAAGGACAAGACACCTCTCTGGTTTATACTTTATCTAATATTAACATGGAATCTAGAAGGACAAGACACCTCTCTGGTGACAAAATCACAATGTATGAAAAGCAAAACAAAAAAACTTGCCCAACAAAAGAGATCCAAACAAACTGTAGGAAACCACCTGGTTGGGAGGCTACTTTTCATATAGCTTCTCTGATCAGTAATCACCTGTCAATCATCCACACCTCAGAGCAACAGGGTTGGGGTCATTTCCATTTCAAGAAATAAACTGAAATTCCAATTCCACAATGTTCCTCTCAGGCTGTTTATCTGGCAGCTCAATTCTGATTTGTAACCCAATGGCGAAGGTACACAAAGATCGAGGAATTCATGGTTCATTGTGCCTATAAAGCAGCACAATCTACTTTTTAGTTTTTCAAATTTCTGCTGTCTTGGAGCTAGAAGTGGGATCATGTATACTGTGCTAATGCCAATACAAAAAAAGAGTAATGGAGAGCACTGTACAATACGGCAAACTTAGCAAATGAGGTGTTTGTGGTAAGTACATGAGGGCCGCCATCTTCATGCACCTTCGCCATTATTGGCAAAAGAGCTGATCTGATTGGTCCAAAGACCAATTATGAAGAAAAAAATATCAGAATTGAGAAAATGTGGATTTCAGTTTGTTCCTTGAATTGACTTCCAAATCTCTATTGCTTGCTGTCTATCAAGGCTCTGTCGTAGCCGGCCGCAACCGGGAGACACATGGGGCGGTGCACAATATGCCCAGCGTCGTCCAGGGTAGGGGAGGGAATGGCCGGCAGGGATGTAGCTCAGTTGGTAGAGCAAAGCGTTTGCAATGCCAGGGTTGTGGGTTCGATTCCCATGGGGGGCCAGTATATAAAAATTATGTATGCACTCACTAACTGTAAGTCGCTCTGGATAAGAGCGTCTGCTAAATGACTTAAATATAAATGTTTGGGGTTTTAGGCTGGGTTTCTGTATAAGCACTTTGTGACATCTGCTGATGTAAAAATGGCTTTATAAATACATTTCATTTGATTTTGATTTGACTGAATGGAATTGACCCCAACCCTGGTGAGAAATCACTCTTCCTTAAAGGCCCAGTCCTCCAAGAACCTGGCCCTGCCTGCTGCTGCGCCCTAGTGGTAGGATGTAGATACCTGGCCCTGCCTGCTGTTTCCCCCTGGTGGTAGGATGTGGATACCTGGCCCTGCCTGCTGCTGCTGCCTAGTGGTAGGATGTGGATACCTGGCCCTGCCTGCTGCTGCTCCCTAGTGGTAGGATGTAGATACCTGTCCCTGCCTGCTGCTGCGCCCTAGTGGTAGGATGTAGATACCTGGCCCTGCCTGCTGTTTCCCCCTGGTGGTAGGATGTGGATACCTGGCCCTGCCTGCTGCTGCTGCCTAGTGGTAGGATGTGGATACCTGGCCCTGCCTGCTGCTGCTCCCTAGTGGTAGGATGTAGATACCTGTCCCTGCCTGCTGCTGCGCCCTAGTGGTAGGATGTAGATACCTGGCCCTGCCTGCTGTTTCCCCCTGGTGGTAGGATGTGGATACCTGGCCCTGCCTGCTGCTGCGCCCTGGTGGTAGGATGTGGATACCTGGCCCTGCCTGCTGCTGCCCCCTAGTTGTAGGATGTGAGTAGTGGAAATACAGTTTTTTTCTCCAAAATCTCTCCCTCCTGAAGTGTGCACTTGTTCACTACTCTCCTCAAATGTAAAAGCATTGGGTTGGTGTAGGCATGGAGGGAGTTTCTATATACCCTTCATTTCCTTTCAAATCCATGAAGGGAAGTGAACAAGTGCACATTACAGGAGAAATTAGATATTTGGATGCAACCTGTTTCCCTGGCATAATCCACTTATCTACCTCCATTCATTACATCATATCACTGTATCCCAAATCAAATGTTTATTTTTGCGAGTTGTGACAGTTACTAAATGCTTTGGATAGAACGTGATTGAATGTGGCAGGAAAAAACGGTTTGAAAGTAGTTCTGCTTTTAATATATGCTTAATTATCAGTAATTCAATGTAATTTTAAACAAATTCTTTGGCATGAAGGACAGTGCTATGGTCACCCAAAGGTCATCAGATCCATTGAAGAGCTGGAACAATGTAGGGTGCATTATGAAAATCAACTGTGTCTGTCAGAACCAGACGTACATCCATGTTGAACATTAGTTGTAATGATTATGGGTCCATGGTTAAAGAAAGAGTTTGTCCAAGTCTGTGATTGTCCAAGTGGCAGGGTGCTGGCTGCTTTGTTGTTTGAATCCCAGATTGACCCTTTATTAAGTATATTTGATGGAGTTGTGTTGGATATCCATGTGAAGTTTTAAGCAGGTTTAGTGTTGGGTTAAGGTCACTACAGTATAAACTCAGTAATAGACCAGGTTATGAGGTTGCTAGGTGTTGGGTTTAAGGTCACTACACGTATAAACTCAGTATAGACCAGGTTATGAGATTGCTAGGTGGTTTGGGTTAAGGTCATACAGTAATAAACTCAGTATAGACCAGGTTATGGTGTTGGCTAGGTTTTGGGTTAGGTCACTACAGTATAACTCAGTATAGACCAGGTTATGAGGTTGCTAGGTGTTTGGGTTAGGTCACTACAGTATAACCTCAGTATAGGACAGGTTATGATGTTGCTAGGAAGGGGTGTTGGGTTAAGGTCACTACAGTATAAACCTCAGTATAGACCAGGTTATGATGTTGCTAGGTGTTTATTTAAGGTCACTACAGTATAAACTCAGTATAGACCAGGTTATGTTGTTGCTAGGTGTTGGGTTAAGGTCACTACAGTATAAACTCAGTATAGACCAGGTTATGATGTTGCTAGGTGTTGGGTTAAGGTCACTACAGTATAAACTCAGTATAGAACCAGGTTATGAATGTTGCTAGGTGTTTGGGTTAAGGTCACTACAGTATAAACTCAGTATAGACCAGTTATTAGGTTGCTAGTGTTGGGGTTAAGGTCACTAACAGTATACAACTCAGTATAGACCAGGTTATGAGGTTGCTAGGTGTTGGGTTAAGGTCACTACAGTATAAACTCAGTATAGACCAGGTTATGGGGACTGTCTGGTAATTAGTCAAATCTTATGTTATTGGTATAGAAAAAGTAATGATCAGTAGGCTGGATATATTATAAACATTGTATTGTGAAGACATGTTTATTTAGTTAATAGCATCACACTGGAACAAAGCCTGTCTGTCTGTTGAATTACACTGGACCAAAACCTGTCTAGCTGTCTGTTGAATTACACTGGACCTAAACCTGTCTTGCTGTCTGTTGAACGTGTCTATGGATAAACATGGAACAGAACATTAGAGTGTGGTATTCAGGAAGGATTCTGGAATGTTGAGTACAAAGAGATTCCGGATCTAGAACCTGGAGTGTGTATGAAGTTAAGTGTTCTGGAATGCTTTAGCCAGATGTTCTGGAGGAGTGTAATGTTGATGTGATTGTGACATCTTCACACCTTGACCACAGCCTTGCCGATGTTGTCTCCCTGTAGCATGCCCATGAAGGCAGCAGGCATGTTGTTGAAACCACTGGTGATGTGTTCATTGCATCGCAGCTTGCCCTGAAGGATCAACACAAACATTTTATTCTCCTCCTCGTCATCAGCGTCATCATTACTGTCATCACCATCATCATCCTCGTCATCATCATCATCACCGCCGTCATCACTGTCATATTCTTCCTCATCATCATCATCAGGCTTACACAGTGTTTGGCAACTGTTTTCATGGATTCACATGACTCAACAAAACTACCTTCAGAAGGAATCTTTACTGGATGGGTTTCTATTGTATCCTGAATGTCCATAACACTGGTAATAGAACACTGGTAATAGAACACTGGCAATAGAACACTGGTAATAGAACACTGGTAATAGAACACTGGTAATAGAACACTGGTAATAGAACACTGGTAATAGAACATTGGTAGTAGAACACTGGAAATAGAACACTGGTAATAGAACATTGGTAGTAGAACACTGGTAATACAGCACTGTTAATAGAGCACTGGTCGTAGAACATTTGTAGTAGAACACTGGTAATAGAACACTGGTAATAAAGCACTGTTAATAGAGCACTGGTCGTAGAACACTAGTAATATAACACTGCCAATAGAACACTGGTAATAGAACACTGGTAATAGAACAGTGGTAATAGAACACTGCCAATATAACACTGGTAATACAACACTGGTAATAGAACACTGGTAACACAACACTGGTAATAGAACACTGGTAATACAACACTGGTAATATAACACTGGTAATAGAACACTGGTAATATAACACTGGTAATAGAACATTGGTAGTAGAACACTGGAAATAGAACACTGGTAATAGAACATTGGTAGTAGAACACTGGTAATAGAACACTGGTAATACAGCACTGTTAATAGAGCACTGGTCGTAGAACATTTGTAGTAGAACACTGGTAATAGAACACTGGTAATACAGCACTGTTAATAGAGCACTGGTCGTAGAACACTAGTAATATAACACTCCCAATAGAACACTGGTAATAGAACACTGGTAATAGAACAGTGGTAATAGAACACTGGTAACACAACACTGGTAATAGAACACTGGTAATACAACACTGGTAATATAACACTGGTAATAGAACACTGGTAATATAACACTGGTAATAGAACATTGGTAGTAGAATACTGGTAATAGAACACTGGTAATACAGCACTGTTAATAGAGCACTGGTCGTAGAACATTTGTAGTAGAACACTGGTAATAGAACACTGGTAATACAGCACTGTTAATAGACACTGGTCGTAGAACACTAGTAATATAACACTCCCAATAGAACACTGGTAATAGAACACTGGTAATAGAACAGTGGTCGTAGAACACTAGTAATATAACACTCCCAATAGAACACTGGTAATAGAACACTGGAAATAGAACACTGGTTATAGAACACTGGTAATAGAACACTGGTAATACAACACAAGTTATACAACACAAGTAATACAACACAAGTAACAACCAAGTAATATAACACGGGTAATAGAACCAATGGTAATATAACACTGTAACGATAACACTGGTAATATAACACTGGTAATATAACACTGGTAAACAACCTGGTAATAGAAACAAGAGTATATAACACTGGTATAGGAACACTGTTAATAGAACACTAGTAATATAACACTGGTATAGACATTGGTAGTAGAAAACACTGGTAAATAGAACACTGGTAATAGAAACACTGGTAAGAGAACTACTGGTAATATAACACTGGTACAACACTGGTATGAAACACTGTATAAACCTGGAAATAGAACACTGGTATAGACACTGTTATAGAAACCTGTAATACAAAAAAACACTGGGTATACAACCCTCTGTAATACAACACTGTAATATACACTGTTACGAACACTGGTAATAGAACACTGGTAATAAACACTGTAATACAACACAATAATACACACATTAATACAACACTGGTATAGAAACTGGTAATAAACCTGGTCTATAGACAGCTTGTAAGATAACACTGGTAATATAACACTGGTAATACAACACTGGTAATAGAACACTAGTAATATAACACTGGTAATAGAACACTGGTAATGAGAACCTAGTAAATATACACAAAACCTGGTAATAGAACATGTGGTAGTAAACACTGGTAATAGAACACTGGTAATACAGCACTGTTAATGAGCAACTGGTTCGTAGAACATTTGTATTAGCACACTGGTAATAGAACCTGGTAAATTACAGCACTGTTAATAGACACTGGTCCGTAGAACACTAGTAATATAACCTCCCAATAAACACTGGTAATAGAACACTGTTAATAGAACAGTGTAAATAGAAGACACGGCCATATAACACTGGGTAATAGAACACTGGTACACAACACTGGTATAAACACTGGAATACAACCATGTAATATAACACTGGTTAACACAATCACTGGCAACATAACACTGGCAATAAACACTGTAATCAACCCTGGTAATAGAACACTGTATAAACACTTGTGTAATAGAACACTGGTAATAGAACACTGGTAATATAACCCTGTACTACAACACTGGTAATATAACACTGGTAATATAACACTGGTAATAGAACCTTGTAATAGAACACTGGTAATAAACACAATACTAAACACCAGTAATACACACTGGTAATAGAACACTGGTAATAAACACTGGTAATATACCCTGTAATATAACAAACACTGGTAATATAACCCTGGTAATACAACACTGGTAATAGAACAACAGTCATATACACTGGTAATCGAACACTGGTAGTCGAACACTATTATATAAAAACCTGGTAATAGACATGGTAGTAGAACACTGGTAATAGAAACACTGGTAATACAGCACTGTTAATAGAGCCACTGGTCGTAGAAACATTTGTTAGTAGAACACTGGTAATAGAACACTGGTACTACAGCCTGTAATAGACACTGGTCGTAGAACATAGTAATTATAACACTCCCAATAGAACACTGGTAATATAACACTGGTACTAGAACAGTGGTATAGAACACTGCCAATATAAACTTTGTAATAGAACCTGGTAACACACACTGGTAATAGAACACTGGAAATACAACACATGTAATATAACACTGGTAACACAACACTGGCAACAGAACACTGGCAATAGAACACTGGTAATAGAACACTGGTAATAGAACACTGGTAATAGAACCAATTGAATACACACAGGAATACCAACACTTTATATAACACTGGTAATAGAACAGCTGGTAATTATAACACTGGTAATATAACACTGGTAAAGAACACTGGTAATATAACACTGGTATAGAACCCTGGAAATAGAACACGGTTAAAGACACTTGGTAATAGAACACTGGTATACACACTGGTAAATATAACACTGGTAACTTAACACATGTGAAGAGAACACTGGTAACACAACACTTGCAACGAACCTGGCATAGAAACACTGGTAATAGAACACTGGTAATACACTGGTAATAGAACCCTGGTATAGAACACTGGTATAGAACACTGGTAATAGAACACTGGTCTAGAACATGGAAATAGAACACTGGTAATAGAACACTGGTAATAAGAACACTGGTTATATAAGAACACTGGTAATAGAACCTGTAAACTAGACACTGAATAGACCTGGAAATAGAACCCTGGGTAATAGACACTGGTAAGAGAACACTGGTAATAGAACACTGTACTACAAACACGGGTAATACACACCTGGTAAGATAAACACTGGTATTAACCCTGGTAAGACACTGGTAATACAACACTGGTATAGAACACTGGTAATACAACACTGGTAATAGAACACTGTAATAGAACACTTGGTAACACAACACGTAACACAACACTGGGTAACACAACACTGGTAATAGAACACGGTAATAGAACACTGGAATAGAACACTGTTATAGAACTCGGTAATAGAACACTAGTAAATATAACACTAGTAATATACACTGGTAATTACACCACTGGTAATACAACACTGTAATAAACACTGGTATAGAACACTGGTAACTATAACACTGTAAAATGACAACACTGGTAATAGAACACTGGTATACAACACTGGTAATAGAACACTGGTATGAACACTGATAATAGAACACTGGTAATAGAACACTGCTGCCAATTAACACTGGCAAGATAACACTGGTATCGAACACTGGTAATACAACACTGGTCATATACACTGGTAATAGAACACTGGTAATAGCACACTGGTATAGAAAACTGCCAATATAACACTATTAAATCAACACTGTTAATACAAACACTGGTAATAGAACACTGGTAATAGACACTGTTAATAGACCACTAAGTAATATAAACACTGTAATATAAACACTGGTAATACAACACTTGGTAATACAACCTGGTAATAAACACTGGGTAATGAACACTGGTAATAGAACCTGGTAATACAACACGGTAATAGAACACTAGTAATATACCCCCTGTAATAAGAACACTGTATAGAACACTGGAATACAACACTGGTAATAGAACCACTGGTAACACAACACTGTTAACACAACACTGGTAACACAACACTGGTAATACAAAACACTGGTAATAGAACACTGGTAATAGAACACGGTAATAGAACACTGGTTATAAACACTGGTATAGAACCGAGTAATATACACTGGTAATTATACACTGGTATACACACTGGTAATAGAACCTGGTAATACAACACTGGTAATACAACCTGGTACTATAACCCTGTAATATACCCTATAATATAACACTGTAATAGAACACTGGTATAGAACACTAGTAATATAACACTGGTAATATAACACTGGTACTACAACACTGGTAATAGAACCTGGTAATAGAACACTGAAATAGAACACTGGTAATAGAGAACACTGGTAAGTAGCACACTGGTAATACAACACTGGTAATACACACTGGTCATATAACCTGGTAATATAACCCTGGCTAATAGAACACTGGTACTACAACACTGGTAATAGAACATGGTAATACCACACTGGTACTAGAACACTGGAATTAGAACACTGTAACACACACTGGTATATACCCTGGTAATACACAACACTGGTAATACACACTGTTACTACCCCACTGGTAATACAACACTGGGTAATAGAACACTGTAATAGAACATTGGTAGTAAACACTGGAAATAAACACTGGTAATAGAACATTGTGTAGTAGAACACTGGTAATAGAACACTGGTAATAACCGCACTGTTAATCTAGCACCTGGTCCGTGAACATTTGTATAAAACACTGGTAATAAACACTGGTAATACCGCCACTGTTAATAGACACTGGTCGTAAACACTAGTAATATAACACTCCAATAAAACACTGGTAATAGAACACTGGTAACACACTGAAAATAAAACACTGGTATTAGAACACTGGTATAGAACATTGTAAGTAGAATCCTGGAAATAGAACACTGGTACTAAACATTGGTAGTAAACACTGGTAATAGAACACTGGTAATAACACTGTTAAGACACTGTTCCGTAGAACATTTTTAGTAGAACACTGTATATAACACTGGTAATACAGCACTGTTAATAGACACTACTGTTCGTAGAACACTAGTAATATAACACTCCCAATGACACTGGTATAGAACACTGGTAATAACAACACGGGGTACTAGAGACACTGGTATAAAACACAACTGGTCGAGACATTGGTAATAATAAACACTGGACAAGAACACTGGGTATAGAACATGGTAGTAGACCACTGGTAATAACACTGGTAATACGCACTGTTAACAGCACTGGTAATACAACCTGGTAAAAGGAAAAACAAAAAAAAAACCCACTGCCAATATAACACTGGTAATTACAACAACTGGTAACACAACACTGGTAAACACAACCGGTAATCCGCACTGGTAAATACAACACGGGTAATACAACACTGGTAATACAACAACTGTTAATACAACACTGGTATACAACACTGGTAATACAACCTGGTATAGACACTGGTATCGAACACTGGTAATAGAACACTGGTAAATACAACACTTGTCTAGAACACGGGTAATATAACACTATAATATCACACTGGTAATAGCACACTGCTGGTAATAGCACACTGGTAATACAACACTGGTAAACAACACTGAATACAACACTGGTATACAACACTGGTAATAGACACTGGTAATATGAACACTGTTAATTACAACACTGGTAATAACAACACGTAATACAACACTGTAATAGACCTGGTAATACAATACAACACTAGTAATAGAACACTGGTAATAGAACACTGGTAATAGAACACTGGTAATAGAACACTGGTAATAGAACACTGGTAATATAACACTGGTAATAGAACACTGGTAATAGAACACTGGTAATAGAACACTGGTAATAGAACACTGGTAATAGAACACTGGTAATAGAACACTGGTAATAGAAACTGGTAATAGAACCCTGGTAATAGAACAATAGTAGTAGAACCCCGCTAGTAGAACCCTCTCCCTGTACCTCAGTCATCCAGGCCATCAGCCTCCTCAGTGACTGCTGGTGTTTGTGTTTCCAGCGACCACACAGGAAGCCCTCCATCCTCAGCTGCTTGAAGATCATATGGGTGTGGACATACGGCCCTGCAATAGAATATTAACATATACAGATATACGGATGCAGTTACACAGATGCAGATATAGTAAGATCATTATGGGAGTTGGGCATATACTGCCCTGGCTAATAAACAAATACCTGTCGGTGGTGTGGACAGTATAACTTTCGTGTGGGTGGACAGTATACATGTCTGTGGTGTGGACAGTATACCTGTCTGTGGTGTGGACAGTATACCTGTCTGTGGTGTGGACAGTATACCTGTCTGTGGTGTGGACAGTATACCTGTCTGTGGTGTGGACAGTATACCTGTCTGTGGTGTGGACAGTAATCCCCTGTCTGGGTGTGGGGACATATACCTTCCCTGGTGTGGACAATTATACCTTTCTGTGGTGTGGTGTCGTTGTACATTGAGATGCTTCCACACACAGCTATTCTGCCATACTCTCTCATCTGAGGGCACTCACACCCTGGGAACTCCGCACCACCTGACCAGAGAGAAGGAGAGAGAAAGAGATTGGACTTTGATACACACACACACACGCATGTGCACACACACACACACACACAGACAAAGAGTGCGTCTGTGTGTGTGAGTGGTGCAGCGGCCTCACGTTCTCAAAGTAGCAGTCGTATCCGTGTGGCGCGGCCTCCCTGAGTGAGTTCTCCAGAGAGGTGACAGTCTTGTAGTTGAAGACCTGGTCAAAACCCAGCTCCTTTAGATAGGACAGCTTGGTATCTGTCCCCGCACACCCCAAACCATTACGCCCTGAGGAACACACCACACAACCCACACACAGCTCTATACATTAGAAAGTCATGATAAAACAGAGGACTGGAATATAGAACACAACTTGGAAGTAACTAACACTGTGGAGAAGTTGTGGGAACGCTGTGGGAATGTTGGGGGAAAGTTGTACCTTGATCTTGGCGATCTGTCCCACCACTGAGCCCACAGCCCCTGCTGCAGCGTTCACCAGAAGAGTCTCCCCCTCCTTTATCTCACACACTCCCTAGTCCTTTAAGAGCTGTCGACTGTAGAGAGATATCATCACCACACCTCCCTGTCCATACAGAGCGTCAGATGTAGAGAGATTATCATAAACACCTCCTTAGTCCTTTTAAGAGCTGTCAGACTGTAGGAGATATATCACACACCTCTCTAGTCCATACAGAGCTGTCAGATTTTAGAGAGATATAATCACCACACCCCCTCTAGTCCATACAGAGGTCAGATGTAGAGGGGAATATCATCACACCTCCTCTAGTCCATACAGAGCTGTCAGACTGTAGAGAGATATCATCACACCTCCTCTAGTTCATACAGAGCTGTCAGACTGTAGAGATATCATCATCATCACACCTCCTCTAGTCCATACAGAGCTGTCAGACTGTAGAGAGATATCATCACACCTCCTCTAGTCCATACAGAGCTGTCAGACTGTAGAGAGATATCATCACACCTCCTCTAGTCCATACAGGGCTGTCAGACTGTAGAGAGATATCATCACCACACCTCCTCTAGTCAACTAACAGAGTTTTTTGTAAAAGAGCTGTAGACGAGAGAACCCATCACAACCTCCTTAGTCCATACAGAGCTGTCAGACTGTAAGAGATATCATCACACCTCCTCTAGCCCATACAGGGCTGTCAGATTAGAGAGATATCATCACACCTCCTCTAGTCCATAAGAGCTGTCAGACTGGTAGAGAGAATCTTTAAACACCCCCTCTATTTCATACAGAGCTGTCAGACTGTAGGGGATATCTCAACCTCTTAGCCCATACAGACGTCAGACTTAGAGAGATTCATCACACTCCTTGTCCTACAGAGCTGTCAGACTGTAGAGAGATATCATCACCACCTCCTCTAGTCATACGAGCTGTCAGACTGTAGAGATTTCATCATCATCACCACCTCCTCTAGTCCATACAGAGCTGTCAGACTGTAGAGAGATATATCATCACACCTCCTCTAGTCCATACAGAGCTGTCAGACTGTAGAGAGATATCATCACACCTCCTCTAGTCCATACAGAGCTGTCAGACTGTAGAGAGATATCATCACACCTCCTCTAGTCCATACAGAGCTGTCAGACTGTAGAGAGATATCATCACCCCCCTCTCTAGTCCATACAGAGCTGTCAGACTGTAGAGAGATATCATCACACCTCCTCTAGTCCATACAGAGCTGTCAGACTGTAGAGAGATATCATCACACCTCCTCTAGTCCATACAGAGCTGTCAGACTGTAGAGAGATATCATCACACCTCCTCTAGTCCATACAGAGCTGTCAGCTGTAGGAGATAATCAACTCTCAGTCATACAGAGCGTCAGCGTAGAGAGATCATCACACCTCCTAGTCCATACAGAGCTGTCAGACTGTAGAGAGATATCATCACACCTCCTCAAAGTCCATAAGGGCAGCTGAGAAGAATAACCCCCCAGCACGACGTCGAGAGAGAATATCCTCAACCTCCTTAGTCCATCAGAGCTTCAGACTTTTTAGAGAGATATCATAAAAACACCTCCTCTAGTCCATACAGAGCTGTCAGACTGAGAGGGATATCACACACCTCCTCTAGTCCATAAGGCGTCAGAATGTAGAGAGAATCATCACAACCTCCTCTAGTCCATACAGAGCTGTCAGACTGAAAGAGAGATATCATCACCCCCTCCTCTAGTCCATACAGAGCGGGTCAGACTGTAGAGAGATATCATACACACCTCTCTAGTCCATACAGGAGCTGTCAGACTGTAGAGAGATAACATCACCACACTCCTCTAGTCCATACAGAGCTGTCGACTGTAGAGAAAATATCATCACCACACCTCCTCTAGTCCATACAGAGCTGTCAGACTGTAGAGAGATATCATCACACCTCCTCTAGTCCATACAGAGCTGTCAGACTGTAGAGAGATATCACCACCTCCTCTAGTCCATACAGGGCTGTCAGACTGTAGAGGATATCACACACTCCTTAGTCCATACAGAGCTGTCAGATGAGAGAGATATCATCACACCTCCTCTAGTCCATACAAAAGCTGTCAGACTGTAGAGAGTTTATCATCACACACCTCCTCTAGTCCATACAGAGCTGTCAGACTGTATAGAGAGATATCATCACCCACCTCCTCTAGTCCATACAGAGCTGTCAGACTGTAGAGAGATATCATCACACCTCCTCTAGTCCATACAGAGCTGTCAGACTGTAGAGAGATATCATCACACCTCCTTTAGTTCATACAGAGCTGTCAGACTGTAGAGATATCATCATCATCACACCTCCTCTAGTCCATACAGAGCTGTCAGACTGTAGAGAGATACACCCACACCTCCTCTAGTCCATACAGGGCTGTCAGACTATAGAGAGATATCATCACACCTCCTCTAGTCCATTACAGAGTGTCGGACTGTAGAGAGAGATATCATCACACCTCCCTTAGTCCATACAGAGCTGTCAGACTGAAAGAGAGTATCTTTCATCACACCTCCTCTAGTCCATACAGGGCTGTCAGACTGTAGAAAAGATAACATCACACCTCCTCTGCCCATACAGAGCGTCGACGGTAGAGAGATATCATACCACACCTCCTCTAGTCCCATACAGAGCTGTCAGACTGTAGAGAGATATCATCACACCTCCTCTAGTCCATACAGAGCTGTCAGACTGTAGAGAGAGATATCATCACACCTCCTCTAGTCCATACAGGGCTGTCAGACTGTAGAGAGATATCATCACACCTCCTCTAGTCCATACAGAGCTGTCAGACTGTAGAGAGATATCATCACACCTCCTCTAGTCCATACAGAGCTGTCAGACTGTAGAGAGATATCATCACCACACCTCCTCTAGTCCATACAGAGCTGTCAGACTGTAGAGAGATATCATCACACCTCCTCTAGTCCATACAGACTGTCAAGACTGTAAAAGAGATATTCATCAACCTCCTCTAGTCCATACAGAGCTGTCAGACTGTAGAGAGGATATATACACCTCCCTAGCCCAACAGAGCTGTAGACTATAGAGGAATAATCACACCTCCTCTAGCCATAAAGAGCTGTAGACTGTAGAGAGATATCATCAACTCCTCAGTCATACAGAGCTGTCAGACTGTAGAGAGAATCATAAAATCCCCCCTTTTTCACCCTCACACAACATGTCTCTCACAACTTCAACCACAAACAGAGGAGAGAGAGAGGAGAGGAGAGAGGGGAGAGGAGGAGAGAGAGAGAGAGAAAGAGAGAGAGAGAGGAGAGAGGAGGGAGGGGAGGAGAGGATGAGAGAGGAGGAGAGAGAGAAGAGAGAGAGAGAGGAGAGAGAGAGAAGAAGGAATGGAGGAGAGGGAGAGAGAAGGGAGGAGGGAGGAGGGGAAGAGAGAGGAGAGATGAAAAGAGAGAGGGAGAGAAGAGGAGGAGAAGAGAGAGAGAGAGAGAGGGGAGGAGAAGAGAAGAGAGGACGAGAATGGAAGGAGAAGGAGGAGAGAGAAAGGAGAGAGGGAGAGGAGAGGAGAAGAGAGAGACGGGAAGGAGAGAGATGAGAAGGAGAGGAGGGGAGAAGAGAGGAGACGAGGAAAAGGGGAGGAGAGATGAGATGGGGATAGGGAGAAAAGAGAGAGAGAGGGGGGGGGGGGGAGGAGCAGGGAAGAGAGAGAAGAGAGAGGAGAGAGAGAGAGAGAAGAAGTTCCATCCTACCCAGGCATGCCGATGGCCCCCAGGGCCAGGGAGAGGGGGATATCCTGGGGCCAGTCGGGCAGCACAGGGGTCAGCTCTGCCACATCACACACCCAGTGACTCCTCCATCCACAATCACTGACCACATGGCAGCCTACCGGGAAGCTGGGGTTACAGCTCTGGATCACCCTGGAGGGAGGGAGGGAGTGAGGGAGGGATAGAGAGAGAGAGGTGGAGAGAGAGAGACAGAGAGCAAGAGGTGAGTGTGTGAAAGCATGTGTCAGTAAGTCTATAGTGTGTCAACATGAGTGTCAGTGAGTCTATAGTGTGTCAACATGAGTGTCAGTGAGTCTATAGTGTGTCAACATGAGTGTCAGTAAGTCTAGTGTGTCAACATGAGTGTCAGTAAGTCTATAGTGTGTCAACATGAGTGTCAGTAAGTCTATAGTGTGTCAACATGAGTGTCAGTAAGTCTATAGTGTGTCAACATGAGTGTCAGTAAGTCTATAGTGTGTCAACATGAGTGTCAGTAAGTCTATAGTGTGTCAACATGAGTGTCAGTAAGTCTATAGTGTGTCAGCATGAGTGTCAGTAAGTCTATAGTGTGTCAACATGAGTGTCAGTGAGTCTATAGTGTGTCAACATGAGTGTCAGTAAGTCTATAGTGTGGTCCTCTGTAGCTCAGCTGGTAGAGCACGGCGCTTGTAACGCCAAGGTAGTGGGTTCGATCCCCGGGACCACCCATACACAAAAATGTATGCACGCTTGACTGTAAGTCGCTTTGGATAAAAGCGTCTGCTAAATGGCATATTATTATTATTATTATTAACATGAGTGTCAGTAAGTCTATAGTGTGTCAACATGAGTGTCAGTGAGTCTATAGTGTGTCAACATGAGTGTCAGTAAGTATATAGTGTGTCAACATGAGTGTCAGTAAGTCTATAGTGTGTCAACATGAGTGTCAGTAAGTATATAGTGTGTCAACATGAGTGTCAGTAAGTCTATAGTGTGTCAACATGAGTGTCAGTAAGTATATAGTTTGTCAACATGAGTGTCAGTGAGTCTATAGTGTGTCAACATGAGTGTCAGTGAGTCTATAGTGTGTCAACATGAGTGTCAGTAAGTCTATAGTGTGTCAACATGAGTGTCAGTGAGTCTATAGTGTGTCAACATGAGTGTCAGTAAGTCTATAGTGTGTCAACATGAGTGTCAGTAAGTCTATAGTGTGTCAACATGAGTGTCAGTGAGTCTATAGTGTGTCAACATGAGTGTCAGTAAGTATATAGTTTGTCAACATGAGTGTCAGTAAGTCTATAGTGTGTCAACATGAGTGTCAGTAAGTCTATAGTGTGTCAACATGAGTGTCAGTGAGTCTATAGTGTGTCAACATGAGTGTCAGTAAGTCTATAGTGTGTCAACATGAGTGTCAGTGAGTCTATAGTGTGTCAACATGAGTGTCAGTAAGTTTATAGTGTGTCAACATGAGTGTCAGTAAGTTTATAGTGTGTCAACATGAGTGTCAGTGAGTCTATAGTGTGTCAACATGAGTGTCAGTGAGTCTATAGTGTGTCAACATGAGTGTCAGTAAGTCTATAGTGTGTCAACATGAGTGTCAGTGAGTCTATAGTGTGTCAACATGAGTGTCAGTAAGTCTATAGTGTGTCAACATGAGTGTCAGTGAGTCTATAGTGTGTCAACATGAGTGTCAGTGAGTCTATAGTGTGTCAGCATGAGTGTCAGTAAGTATATAGTCAACATGAGTGTCAGTAAGTATATAGTGTGTCAACATGAGTGTCAGTAAGTCTATAGTGTGTCAACATGAGTGTCAGTGAGTCTATAGTGTGTCAACATGAGTGTCAGTAAGTCTATAGTGTGTCAACATGAGTGTCAGTAAGTCTATAGTGTGTCAACATGAGTGTCAGTAAGTCTATAGTGTGTCAACATGAGTGTCAGTAAGTATATAGTGTGTCAACATGAGTGTCAGTAAGTCTATAGTGTGTCAACATGAGTGTCAGTTAGTATATAGTGTGTCAACATGAGTGTCAGTAAGTCTATAGTGTGTCAACATGAGTGTCAGTAAGTCTATAGTGTGTCAACATGAGTGTCAGTAAGTCTATAGTGTGTCAACATGAGTGTCAGTAAGTCTAGTGTGTCAACATGAGTGTCAGTAAGTCTAGTGTGTCAACATGAGTGTCAGTAAGTCTATAGTGTGTCAACATGAGTGTCAGTAAGTCTATAGTGTGTCAACATGAGTGTCAGTAAGTCTATAGTGTGTCAACATGAGTGTCAGTTAGTATATAGTGTGTCAACATGAGTGTCAGTAAGTCTATAGTGTGTCAACATGAGTGTCAGTGAGTCTATAGTGTGTCAACATGAGTGTCAGTAAGTCTAGTGTGTCAACATGAGTGTCAGTGAGTCTATAGTGTGTCAACATGAGTGTCAGTAAGTATATAGTGTGTCAACATGAGTGTCAGTAAGTATATAGTGTGTCAACATGAGTGTCAGTAAGTCTAGTGTGTCAACATGAGTGTCAGTGAGTCTATAGTGTGTCAACATGAGTGTCAGTAAGTCTATAGTGTGTCAACATGAGTGTCAGTAAGTCTATAGTGTGTCAACATGAGTGTCAGTTAGTATATAGTCAACATGAGTGTCAGTAAGTATATAGTGTGTCAACATGAGTGTCAGTAAGTCTATAGTGTGTCAACATGAGTGTCAGTAAGTATATAGTGTGTCAACATGAGTGTCAGTGAGTCTATAGTGTGTCAACATGAGTGTCAGTAAGTCTATAGTGTGTCAACATGAGTGTCAGTGAGTCTATAGTGTGTCAACATGAGTGTCAGTGAGTCTATAGTGTGTCAACATGAGTGTCAGTAAGTCTATAGTGTGTCAACATGAATGTCAGTGAGTCTATAGTGTGTCAACATGAGTGTCAGTAAGTCTATAGTGTGTCAACATGAGTGTCAGTGAGTCTATAGCGTGTCAACATGAGTGTCAGTAAGTCTAGTGTGTCAACATGAGTGTCAGTAAGTCTATAGTGTGTCAACATGAGTGTCAGTGAGTCTATAGTGTGTCAACATGATTGTCAGTAAGTCTATAGTGTGTCAACATGAGTGTCAGTGAGTCTATAGTGTGTCAACATGAGTGTCAGTAAGTCTATAGTGTGTCAACATGAGTGTCAGTAAGTCTAGTGTGTCAACATGAGTGTCAGTGAGTCTATAGTGTGTCAACATGAGTGTCAGTAAGTCTATAGTGTGTCAACATGAGTGTCAGTGAGTCTATAGTGTGTCAACATGAGTGTCAGTGAGTCTATAGTGTGTCAACATGAGTGTCAGTAAGTCTATAGTGTGTCAACATGAGTGTCAGTACGTCTAGTGTGTCAACATGAGTGTCAGTAAGTCTATAGTGTGTCAACATGAGTGTCAGTGAGTCTATAGTGTGTCAACATGAGTGTCAGTAAGTCTATAGTGTGTTTGAGTCCACATGCCCTTCTCCCCCATAATGTTTCCTTACTTGGCAACTTGTGACCCAATCATCACGTCTCCCTCCTTCATCTTCGTCTGGCTGTAGGGTCTCATGTAGGGGTCCACACTAAGGAACACAGCCTCCAACAGCACCTAAACAGGGGTCTATTCATTAATGCACAACGTAGCGAAACGTTTTGCAACTGAAAATATTTTTTTACAAAAATGAATAATTGTTCAAGGGTGTATTCATTAGTGATTACCGTTTTGCAAAGAAAACACATTGTTTATATTGGACAAATTCAGATTAGTCCCTCCCTGTTTCGGCCCAGATAACCAGTTTCTAGTACAAATGTATTAAGCACAGGTTATCAAGTCATTTCATATGCCATGGAACATGTTGGAATTGCAAAAGGGATGTGTTAATTCTGTGTGAAATTTCCGGTAGGGCTATGTGTCCAAGACTATTTTCCCCCTCTGAGACATTAAAGAGTAATTACGCCACTTTTCAACTTCATATTCAATATCTCCAGCATCAATCCAGTGTCTACATATATGAAAAAAGTGTGTGTCTATGATCTGTGCTTAAAAACATAAGAAGGCCCTAAACAAATATTCTCTGTGACATCACAGGGTAGGATTAAAAGTTTAAAAAACGGTGATTTTCAAAACCTGCAAAGAGTTTCCCAGAGGTAAAGAGTTTCCCAGAGGTAAAGAGTTTCCCAGAGGTAAAGAGTTTCCCAGAGGTAAAGAGTTTCCCAGAGGTAAGGTGTTTTCTTGCTCTCCACTTTACCGCGAATCTGTGTTGGAAAACCACTGTTGTTTTTTTTGATGATGTCATCGGGTAGAACTTTGTAATGTTATATATGTTTTCTACAAAACATAGAAATGCACTGTTTCCAAATATGTAGACACTGGTATTGTGCTGCAGATAGTAAAAATAAGATAGAAAAGTAGTGGAATTGCCCTTCAAAGACTATCCTATCCTATCCTCACCTGTCCATTCCTGGGCTGTGGCAGCGTCTCCTCCCTCAGATGGAAGTCACTAGCCTTGGGGAAACCCTGGAAGTGCTGTCGTAACGTCCAGGCCTTGGACACAACCATGGTGCTCTGCTCCTCTGGTCTAAAGCAGTAGATCTGTAGAGACTGGCTGGATGGAAGAGGAGGAGGAGGAGACAGGGGTCTGAGTGTATGAGAGAGAGAGAGAGAGATATAGAACATGTGTTGTGTGTCTTGGGTGGAAATCACAGTGTAAATATTTGCATTCCTTTGTGCATATCCTAATACATCCTATCACAGCTATGTTTACACAGGGAAGGTCATGAAAACTATTGTTTACCCATGTCTACTCAGGGCAGGTCATGAAAACTATTGTTTACCAATGTTTTCTCAGGGCAGGTCATGAAAACTATTGTTTCCCATGTTTACTCAGGGCAGGTCATGAAAACTATTGATATGACATAAAAACAGATTAAGCTACTTTGGGTTCGGAGCAAATATACATTTTCATTCTCTACTGCAAGATAATGGACAATAAAGTTTTCTTCTTGTACACTACCGCTCAAACGTTTTAGAACACCTACTAATTCAAGGGTTTTTCTTTCTTTTTACTATTTTCTACATTTTAGAATAATAGTGAAAACATCAAAACTATGAAATAACACATATGGAATCATGTAGTAACCAAAATAAAGTGTTAAACAAATTTTATATTTGAGATCCTTCAAATAACCACCCTTTGCTTTGATGACAGCTTTGCACACTCTTGGCATTCTCTCAATCAGCTTCATGAGGTAGTCAATGCATTTCAATTAACTGATGTGCCTTCCTAAAAGTTAATTTGTGGAATTTCTTTCCTTCTTAATGCATTTGAGCCAATCAGTTGTGTTGTGACAAGATAGTGGGGGTATACAGAAGATAGCCTTATTTGGTAAAAGTCCATTTTATGGCAAAAACAGCTCAAATAAGCAAAGAGAAACGACAGTCCATCATTACTTTAAGACATGAAGGTCAGTCAATACGGAAAAAGTGCAGTCACAAAAACCATCAAGCGCTATGATGAAACTGCCTCTCATGAGGACAGCCACAGGAATGGAAGACACAGAGTTACCTCTGCTGCAGAGGATAAGTTCATTAGTGTTACCAGCCTCAGAAATTGCAGTCCAAATAAATTATTCACAGAGTTCAAGTAACTGACACACCTCAACATCAACTGTTCAGAGGAGACTGTGTGAATCAGGCCTTCATGGTCGAATTGCTGCAAAGAAACCACTACTAAAGGACACCAATAACAAGAAGAGACTTGCTTGAGCCAAGAAACTCAAGCAATGGACATTAGACTGCTGGAAATGTGTCCTTTGGTCTGGAGTCCAAATTGGAGAGTTTTTGTTCCAACCGCCATGTCTTTGTGAGACGCAGTGTGGGTGAACGGATGATCTCTGCATGTGTATTTCCCACCGTAAAGCATGAAGGAGGAGGTGTTATGGCATGGGGGTGCTTTGCTGGTGACACTGTCTGTGATTTATTTAGAATTTAAGGCACACTTAACCAGCATGGCTACCACAGCATTCTGCAGCGATACGCCATCCCATCCGGTTTGGGCTTAGTGGGACTATCCTTTGTTTTTCAACAGGACAATGACCCAACACACCTCCAGGCTGTGTAAGGGCTATTTTACCAAGAAGGGGCGTGATGGAGTGCTGCATCAGATGACTTAGCCTCCACAATCCCCCGACCTCAACCAAATTGAGATGGTTTGGGATGAGTCGGACCGCAGAGTGAAGGAAAAGCAGCCAACAAGTGCTCAGCATATGTGGGAACTCCTTCAAGACTGTTGGAAAAGCATTCCAGGTGAAGCTGGTTGAGAGAATGCCAAGAGTGTGCAAAGCTGTCATCAAGGCAAAGGGTGGCTATTTGAAGAATCTCAAACATAAAATATATCTTGATTTGTTTAACACTTTTTTGGTTACTACATGATTCCATATGTGTTATTTCATAGTTTTGATGTCTTCACTATTATTCTACAATGTAGAAAATAGTAAATATAAAGAAAAACCCTTGAATGGGTAAGTGTTCTAAAACATTTGACCGGTAGTGTAATTCAAATGATTCTACTTCTTTACCTGAATATGCTGATTACTGCAGCATAAAACTGAAGAACTATGTCCAGCTATCCTGGGCCTATTCTTCAGGTTTCGAGATCAAATATATGCACTTGTTTGAAGCAGACGACCAAGCTATTCTATGCTAGCCGTTATGCTTAATACTAAACTGATATCAATATGTGTTGTTAACTCAATGTTTCTCAGGCGTCAACATGCGGAATAGACCTACTTCTGCAACAAACAACAAAAAATACATTCCTTACCTAGCTATATTTCACGGTGTAAAGCTGATGAACTATTGCCATCTATGTTTTCCATTAAAGTATTTGGTAATTGAATGAAATAGACATATAAGCACTGCCACTGTTGATTTCAGAAAACTTAATTACAGCTACTTTGCAACAGTGTTGCTATGGGTTGCTATATGGGTGGCAGTAACGACTTTGATCTCGAATGCGTCCACTTCTTGCAGAGAAATGACACCCCGGCAATGAACTAAAGCAGCCGTTCAGAATGAAATCTAGTCGTGATGAATTGGCTTTTATGGAATGCAATATATGCACTTGTTCAGACAAGATTACAAAAACCCAAGGCTGGTCCCAAATCTGTTTGTATGCCTACTGTAGCCTACATACAACCAACTCGTATTCCTGTAGTCGGTGTCTGTGGTTGAAGTTTAATTATTGGTTTGAAGCAGACGACCAAGATACTCTATGATAGGCGTTATGCTTAATGATAAACTGATATCAATATGTGTTGTTAATTCAATGTTTATCAGGTGTCAACATGCTGAATATACCTACTACTTCAGCAACAACAACAAAAAGGCGAGGAGCGGAAGAACCCGCCCGTAGGCTACATGCGTGCTGGTAAACATTTCATCCAAGCAGCCAGATAACGGATTGGGACGAGTTCTACTTTTAGCTAATCCGAATCCTCACTCGTACGAAATCCGTTAGTAAATTACGCAGTGTTCACATTTCCCACCACAAAATCGACTGAATGAGTGTAGGCCTACGTCTCCTAAACGCGGAACTTGTAAATTCGATAAACATTTGGACTAAACAAACACGGAACATTAGGGTAGAAAAGTGTGCAATGTCTGTATAGTTTACCTGCTTCAGTTCAGGGTCGCCCACGACTGCTGGAGAAAGTTGCCTTGTCGGTGGATCTCAAGATTGGATATAGTAGTCGATCTGTCGCAGTGTCCGGAAAGTAACTGTGGACTTTGTTACTGGAGTTTGAGTTATAACGTTGCCTAACCTTTCACCCGAATATTTCCTCACAGACCGAAAAAGCGGAATCGGTCAACCCGCACGCGCTGCGCCTAATAGTGCGTTTATAACCAAGTAGGATGGTGGTATTTACCATGTCTCTTGAACGCCCCCCCAACTGGTAATAGAGGGAAACTCGTCTATCATCCCTGAGCTCAGACTTCTCCCACATGCTGACCTCAGACGTCACCTAATAAGGAAATGACCTCCAGAACAGCATTTTCGGCAGTTAAATGCAACAACAAAACATTATTTATAAAAAGCAATCTATTATTATGTTTTTGTAACACTATAATTCCTTTACAAGCATGATATCCATACTTTTAGGTATGCCTGGTATGGCAACTGCTCGGCCTCCGACCGCAAGGCACTACAGAGGGTAGTGCGTACGGCCCAGTACATCACTGGGGCCAAGCTTCCTGCCATCCAGGACCTCTATACCAGGCGGTGTCAGAGGAAGACCCTCAAAATTATCAAAGACTCCAGCCACCCTAGTCATAGACTGTTCTCTCTGCTACCGCCAAGTCTAGGTCCAAAAAGCTTCTACCCCCAAGCCATAAGACTCCTGAACAGCTAATCATGGCTACCCAGACTATTTGCACCCCCACCCCATCTTTTTACGCTGCTGCTACTCCGTTAATTATTTGTGCATAGTCACTTTAACTCTACCCACATGTACATATTACCTCAACTACCTCAACTAGCCGGTGCCCCCGCACATTGACTTTGCATCGGTACCCCCCTGTATATAGCCTCCCTACTGTTATTTTATTTTACTTCTGCTCATTCTTTCTCAACACTTTTTTGTTGTTGTTGTTTTATTTTACTTTTTTATTAAGAAATAAATGCATTGTTGGTTAAGGGCTGTAAGTAAGCATTTCACGGTAATGTCTACACCTGTTATATTCGGCGCATGTGGCAAATCAAATTGGATTTGATTTGATTTGGTTGATGCAGCTTGTTGGCTTTTAGCCAATTGCAGTTTCTCAATGAGTTCAAAGCATGTGAATGCATCCAACTGGTATTTACGACGTCATAACTGGTACTTACCACCTTCTCACTCTGTTATGAACGCAGCATTACTCCATCAACTTATGCTGCCTTCATAACCAAGTGGGAAGGTGGTAATTACTAGAGGTGTGCCGAGTAGTCGGACAAACGGGTATAGTAACGGATATGGGCAATTTTTCTTGATACGATTATGATCAGAGTATTTTTTTAATAATCCGTGATCGGAAAAAAAGTAATTTTCGGGTGCCAGCATGCGTCTTTCTCATGTCAGTCAGTCAAGTAAGGCGCTACATCGTCTAAAAAGCTCAGCTGGCTAGTTTGCCTGTCTTTAAAGAGATGGGCGGGCTGTATATTGATCCTGCTGCTCTGATTGGATAGAGTGAAGCTGTATTTCTCTGTCCACTTGCTTCATGATTTCACCCGATCACATTAGACTGCTGGAAATGTGTCCTTTGGTCTGGAGTCCAAATTGGAGAGTTTTTGTTCCAACCGCCATGTCTTTGTGAGACGCAGTGTGGGTGAACGGATGATCTCTGCATGTGTATTTCCCACCGTAAAGCATGAAGGAGGAGGTGTTATGGCATGGGGGTGCTTTGCTGGTGACACTGTCTGTGATTTATTTAGAATTTAAGGCACACTTAACCAGCATGGCTACCACAGCATTCTGCAGCGATACGCCATCCCATCCGGTTTGGGCTTAGTGGGACTATCCTTTGTTTTTCAACAGGACAATGACCCAACACACCTCCAGGCTGTGTAAGGGCTATTTTACCAAGAAGGGGCGTGATGGAGTGCTGCATCAGATGACTTAGCCTCCACAATCCCCCGACCTCAACCAAATTGAGATGGTTTGGGATGAGTCGGACCGCAGAGTGAAGGAAAAGCAGCCAACAAGTGCTCAGCATATGTGGGAACTCCTTCAAGACTGTTGGAAAAGCATTCCAGGTGAAGCTGGTTGAGAGAATGCCAAGAGTGTGCAAAGCTGTCATCAAGGCAAAGGGTGGCTATTTGAAGAATCTCAAACATAAAATATATCTTGATTTGTTTAACACTTTTTTGGTTACTACATGATTCCATATGTGTTATTTCATAGTTTTGATGTCTTCACTATTATTCTACAATGTAGAAAATAGTAAATATAAAGAAAAACCCTTGAATGGGTAAGTGTTCTAAAACATTTGACCGGTAGTGTAATTCAAATGATTCTACTTCTTTACCTGAATATGCTGATTACTGCAGCATAAAACTGAAGAACTATGTCCAGCTATCCTGGGCCTATTCTTCAGGTTTCGAGATCAAATATATGCACTTGTTTGAAGCAGACGACCAAGCTATTCTATGCTAGCCGTTATGCTTAATACTAAACTGATATCAATATGTGTTGTTAACTCAATGTTTCTCAGGCGTCAACATGCGGAATAGACCTACTTCTGCAACAAACAACAAAAAATACATTCCTTACCTAGCTATATTTCACGGTGTAAAGCTGATGAACTATTGCCATCTATGTTTTCCATTAAAGTATTTGGTAATTGAATGAAATAGACATATAAGCACTGCCACTGTTGATTTCAGAAAACTTAATTACAGCTACTTTGCAACAGTGTTGCTATGGGTTGCTATATGGGTGGCAGTAACGACTTTGATCTCGAATGCGTCCACTTCTTGCAGAGAAATGACACCCCGGCAATGAACTAAAGCAGCCGTTCAGAATGAAATCTAGTCGTGATGAATTGGCTTTTATGGAATGCAATATATGCACTTGTTCAGACAAGATTACAAAAACCCAAGGCTGGTCCCAAATCTGTTTGTATGCCTACTGTAGCCTACATACAACCAACTCGTATTCCTGTAGTCGGTGTCTGTGGTTGAAGTTTAATTATTGGTTTGAAGCAGACGACCAAGATACTCTATGATAGGCGTTATGCTTAATGATAAACTGATATCAATATGTGTTGTTAATTCAATGTTTATCAGGTGTCAACATGCTGAATATACCTACTTCAGCAACAACAACAAAAAGGCGAGGAGCGGAAGAACCCGCCCGTAGGCTACATGCGTGCTGGTAAACATTTCATCCAAGCAGCCAGATAACGGATTGGGACGAGTCCTACTTTTAGCTAATCCGAATCCTCACTCGTACGAAATCCGTTAGTAAATGCGTAATTACGCAGTGTTCACATTTCCCACCACAAAATCGACTGAATGAGTGTAGGCCTACGTCTCCTAAACGCGGAACTTGTAAATTCGATAAACATTTGGACTAAACAAACACGGAACATTAGGGTAGAAAAGTGTGCAATGTCTGTATACTTTACCTGCTTCAGTTCAGGGTCGCCCACGACTGCTGGAGAAAGTTGCCTTGTCGGTGGATCTCAGGATTGGATATAGTAGTCGATCTGTCGCAGTGTCCGGAAAGTAACTGTGGACTTTGTTACTGGAGTTTGAGTTATAACGTTGCCTAACCTTTCACCCGAATATTTCCTCACCGACCGAAAAAGCGGAATCGGTCAACCCGCACGCGCTGCGCCTAATAGTGCGTTTATAACCAAGTAGGATGGTGGTATTTACCATGTCTCTTGAACGCCCCCCCCAACTGGTAATAGAGGGAAACTCGTCTATCATCCCTGAGCTCAGACTTCTCCCACATGCTGACCTCAGACGTCACCTAATAAGGAAATGACCTCCAGAACAGCATTTTCGGCAGTTAAATGCAACAACAAAACATTATTTATAAAAAGCAATCTATTATTATGTTTTTGTAACACTATAATTCGTTTACAAGCATGATATCCATACTTTTAGGTATGCCTGGTATGGCAACTGCTCGGCCTCCGACCGCAAGGCACTACAGAGGGTAGTGCGTACGGCCCAGTACATCACTGGGGCCAAGCTTCCTGCCATCCAGGACCTCTATACCAGGCGGTGTCAGAGGAAGACCCTCAAAATTATCAAAGACTCCAGCCACCCTAGTCATAGACTGTTCTCTCTGCTACTGCCAAGTCTAGGTCCAAAAGGCTTCTCGACAGCTTCTACCCCCAAGCCATAAGACTCCTGAACAGCTAATCATGGCTACCCGGACTATTTGCACCCCCACCCCATCTTTTTACGCTGCTGCTACTCCGTTAATTATTTGTGCATAGTCACTTTAACTCTACCCACATGTACATATTACCTCAACTACCTCAACTAGCCGGTGCCCCCGCACATTGACTTTGCATCGGTACCCCCCTGTATATAGCCTCCCTACTGTTATTTTATTTTACTTCTGCTCATTCTTTCTCAACACTTTTTTGTTGTTGTTGTTTTATTTTACTTTTTTATTAAGAAATAAATGCATTGTTGGTTAAGGGCTGTAAGTAAGCATTTCACGGTAATGTCTACACCTGTTGTATTCGGCGCATGTGGCAAATCAAATTGGATTTGATTTGATTTGGTTGATGCAGCTTGTTGGCTTTTAGCCAATTGCAGTTTCTCAATGAGTTCAAAGCATGTGAATGCATCCAACTGGTATTTACGACGTCATAACTGGTACTTACCACCTTCTCACTCTGTTATGAACGCAGCATTACTCCATCAATTTATGCTGCCTTCATAACCAAGTGGGAAGGTGGTAATTACTAGAGGTGTGCCGAGTAGTCGGACAAACGGGTATAGTAACGGATATGGGCAATTTTCTTGATACGATTATGATCAGAGTATTTTTTTAATAATCCGTGATCGGAAAAAAAGTAATTTTCGGGTGCCAGCATGCGTCTTTCTCATGTCAGTCAGTCAAGTAAGGCGCTACATCGTCTAAAAAGCTCAGCTGGCTAGTTTGCCTGTCTTTAAAGAGAAGGGCGGGCTGTATATTGATCCTGCTGCTCTGATTGGATAGAGTGAAGCTGTATTTCTCTGTCCACTTGCTTCATGATTTCACCCGATCACTTTCACTTCTGTTTCGGTCTGATCATTCATGTTAGCCTGCTATTATGATAAATGAAATGTCAAGGACGTTTGCTATCAAGCTATCAATGTGCATAATATCTAACAAACGGGCGAGGATAGGGAAAAAAGATGAAACGCCAACGTGCATTCTGACTGATAGCAAAATTATCTGCCCTCCGCAAATTGAGGACACAGACATAGGTCAGACACACACACCCCTCCGCGGCTCCTAATCTGCAGGTTGTTTGGTCTATAAACGTGCAGGGCTACTTAGGCATGTTAGAACATTTACGTTTTTTACGATCACGAGTATCATCCGATCCGACTATCAACTGTCAATTTACAGATATGATAACGAATACGAGTATGGCCATGTCGACACACCCCTAGTAATTACCAGTTGTGAAGTCGTAAATACTAGTTGGATGCATTCACATGCTTTGAACTCATTGCGAAATACCGATTAGATAATGGCCAACAAGCTGCCTCAACCATTAACTTAAAGTACAGCCATCATGCTTGTAAACTAATTATAGTGTTCAAAAACCATATTAATAGATCGTTTTTTATCAATAATGTTTTGTTGTTAAATGTAACTGCCGAAAATGCTCTTATCGAGGTCATTTCCTTAGTAGGTGGCATCAGAGGTCAACATGTGGGAAAAGTTGAAGCTCAGGGATTTCCAATTAGTAATTACGAGTTGGAGGGGCATTAAAGTGGATTTTTCCAAGTCATATGTGGCCCCGTGTAGCTCAGTTGGTAGAGCATGGCGCTTGCAAAAAAAAAAAAAATTATGCACTCAATAACTGTAAATCGCTCTGGATAAGAGCGTCTGCTAAATGCCTAAAATGTAAATATATAAATACCACCTTCCACTTGGTTTTGAACGTAGCATAACATTAAACAACATTAGTGTAGCTGTGGTAGCCTTACAAATTGAATACCAAATTAATGATATTTACTTCGATTTGGATATTGTATTTTTTATTTAAATGTTTATTATTAGTATCATACATTCGCATACTATTTATAGGGATAGTGGCAGAATATTGTAGCACATTTTTCTTTTGATGTAGCAATGTCTTCCACCTCCACGTGAATCGATTATTCACTTTTTTTTGTTGTTGTAGCTGATAGCCATAGGCCTAGCTCTGGTCCAGGGCGTTAGTGCGATTTTCACTTCCAAGAGAATATTAATTTGAAGAGGAATGCACACTAACGCCCTGGACCAGAGCTATGGAAGGAGGAACTGAAGTGCAAGCTCCAATCTATTTCGCCAGGTGGCGACAATTGTCCAGACAAAGTAACAAGGATTTTCTACACACCCATACACCAAGGCTTTTGCCCTATTCTAATATTACCAGTGTGCATACATGGTCTATACTGACCTATTTATATTACCAGAACAGCATACATGGTCTATACTGACCTACTATATTACCAGTACAGCATACATGGTCTATACTGACCTACTATATTACCAGGCTTTTCCAACAGTCTTGAAGGAGTTCCCACATATGCTGAGCACTTGTTGGCTGCTTTTTCTTCACTCTGCTGTCCGACTCATCCCAAACCATCTCAATTTGGCTGAGGTCGGGGGATTGTGGAGGCCAGGTAATCTGATGCAGCACTCCATCACTCTCCTTCTTGGTAAAATAGCCCACACACAGCCTGGATGTGTTTTGGGTCATTGTCTTGTTGAAAAACAAATGAAAGTCCCACTGAGCCAAACCAGATGGGATCGCATATCGCTGCAGAATGCTTTGAATTCTGAATAAATCACAGACAGTGTCACCAGCAAAGCACCGCCACACCATAACACCTCCTCCTCCATGCTTTACGGTGGGAAATATACATGCGGAGAGCATCCGTTCACCCACACTGCGTCTCACAAAGACACAGCGGTTGGAACCAAAAATCTCAAATTTCGACTCCAGACCAAAGGACACATTTCAACCAGTCTAATGTCCATTGCTCGTGTGTCTTGGCCCAAGCAAGTCTCTTTTTCTTATTGGTGTCCTTTAGTAGTGGTTTCTTTGCAGCAATTTGACCATGAAGGCCTGATTCACACAGTCTCCTCTGAATAGTTGATGTTGAGATATGTCTGTGACTTGAACTCTGTGAAGCATTTATTTGGGCTGCACAAATGAACTTATAAGAAATGAACTTATAAGAAGGCACATCTGTTAATTGAAATGCATTCCAGGTGACTACCTCATGAAGCTGGTTGAGAGAATGCCAAGAGTGTGCAAAGCTTTCATGAAAGCAAAGGTGTCTATTTCAACAATCTCAAATATATTTTGATTTTTACATATGATTCCATATGTGTTATTTCATAGTTTTGATGTCGTCACTATTATTCTACAATGTAGAAAATAGTAAAAATAAAGATAAACCCTTGAATAAGTAGGTGTTCTAAAACTTTTGACCGGTACTGTATGTGCGAAATCAAACTGTGTTAGCCCACCAAGCTAAGATAAGGGTCATGTTACCTATGTTTCTTTCCCAATTACTTTGGCAAATTTTCATAAGAATGAGCTTAGCACAAAAACAAAAAACAGATCATCAAAATGTCTCGTTTCAAAACTCTAAACACATAATTACAATGTGGACGCCATCTTCTCGCACACCCAGTGGATTTTCGTTGTGCATGGTATGTCATTCCAACTCTTTAGTGGGTCTGATTCCTTCTTTGAGAGATGAGCGCAGTCTTCATCCTGATTTGTATTGTTTGGTTCCCCATCCCTCCAATACCTATAAACAAGACACCAAAACAGACGGTAAAAAATTAAAAAGCAATTAAACAGGCTACAGCACAGATAGACGGTAAAAAGTCACATGGAACAACACAGGGAAACAGACGGTAAAACGACATCCAACACATACATATGACATTTACATTTTAGTCATTTAGCAGACGCTCTTATCCAGAGCGACATACAGTTAGTGCATACATCTTAAGATAACTAGGTGGGACAACCACATATCACTGTCATAGCTACTTTATTGAGGAAAAATGTACTTACTATCAGCAAAGTCAGAGCTAGTAAAGGGGGAGAAAAGTCAATTGTGAGTGTTAGTTCAGAAAAGGCTTTTGGGGGTGTGGAGGGGGGTTCTGTGGGATGATTTAAGATACTTTTTGAAGAGGTAGGCTTTCAGATGTTTTCGGAAGATTGGCAGGGACTCTCCTGTCCTAGCTTCAGGTGGAAGAGCTTGGACTGGGCTCCCGTAGGGGTGGGAGGGCCAAGAGACCAGAGGTGGCAGAACTGAGTGCTCGGGTTGGGGTGTAGGGTTCGAGCATAGCTTGAAGGTAGTGAGGGGCAGTTCCTCTTGCTGCTCCGTAGGCAAGTACCATGGTCTTGTAGTGGAGGCGAGCTTAGACTGAAAGCCAGTGGAGTGTGCAGAGGAGCAGGGTGATATGGGAGAACTCTGGAAAGTTGAACACCAGGCGGGCTGCAGTGTTCTGGATAAGTTGCAGGGGTTTGATGGCACAAGCAGGGAGCCTAGCCAACAGCGAGTTGCAGTAGTCCAGACGGGAGATGACAAGTGCCTGGATTAGGACCTGCGCCGCTTCCTGAGTGTGGTAGGGTCGTAGTCTACAAATGTTGTAGAGCATGAACCAGCAGGAGCAAGTCACTGCTTTAATGTTTGCAGAGAACGACAGGGTGGTGTCAAGGGTCCCGCCAAGGTTCTTTGTACTCTGGGAGGGGGACACCGTGGAGTTGTCAACCATGATGGAGAGGTCTTGGAGCTGGCAGGCCTTCCCCGGGAGGAAGAGCAGCTCCATCTTGTCGAGGTTGAGCTTGGGGTGGTGGGCCAACATCCAAGTTGAGATATCTACCAGGCACGCAGAGATGCGTGTCGCAACTTGGGTGTCAGAAAGGGGGGGGGGGAGGAGAAAAGTAGTTCAGTGTCATCCGCATAGCAATGATAGGAGAGACCATGTGTGGATAAGAAGGAGCCGAGTTACTTGGTGTATATAGAGAAGAGCAGAGGGTATAGAAACAAGCCCTGGGGGACACCAGTAGTGAGAGTACGTGGTGCAGACACAGATCCTCTCCATGTCACTTGGTAGGAGCGGCCAGGTAGGATGCAATCCAAGAGTGTGCAGATCCTGAGATGCACAGCCCTGAGAGGATGGAGAGGAGATTTCTGATGGTTCACGGTGTCCAAGGCAGCGGATAAATCTAGGAGGATGAGAAAACAGAGGAAGGAGAATCAGCTTTGGCAGTGCTGAGATCCTCTGTGACAGAGAAGAGCAGTCTCGGTTGAATGACCCGTTTTGAAGCCTGACTGGTTAGGGTCAAGAAGATCATTCTGAGAGAGCTAACGAGAGAGTTGGTCAGAGACCGCACGATCAAGTGTTTTCGACAGAAAAGAGAAATAGGATAACGGTCTGTAGTTTGATGTCAGAGGAGTCGAGTGTTTGTTTTTGGAGGAGGGGAGCGAATCAGGCCATTTTGAAGTCAGAGGGGATGCAGCCTGTGGTCAGGGATGAGTTGATGAGGGATGTGAGAAGGTCTCCAGAGATGGTCTGGAGAAGGGAGGAGAGGATGGGGTCAGGTTGGCAGGTTTTCGGGCGGCCAGACCTCAGTCGCAGGAATTCATCTGGAGAGAGAGGGGAGAAAAAGGTCAAGGGTAGTTCTGTGTGAGTGAGACCAGTGGACTCAATAGGCTGAGTGAATGAGTAGCGGATGTCGTCAACCTTCTTTTCAAAGTGGTTGACAAAGTCATCCGCAGAGAGGGAGGAGGGAGGGGGACGGTGTGGAGGATTAAGGAGGGAGGAGAAGGTGGAAAATAGTTTCCTAGGTTTAGAGGCAGAAGCTTGACATTTAGAGTGGTAGAAAGTGGCTTTAGCAGCGGATACAGAGGAAGAGAAAGTAGAGAGGAAGAAGTGAAAGGATGATAGGTCCTCCGGAAGTTACGTTTTCTACATTTTTCGCTCAGATGCCCACAGCCCTGTTCTGTAAGCTCGCAATGAGTCACGGGGCAGGAGGGGAGGGCCGAGCCAGCCGGGAGGAAAGGGGACAGTGGGAGTCATAGGATGCGGAAAGGGAGGAGAGTAGGGTCAAAAAGGCAGAATCAGGAGACGGGAGGGAGAAGGATTTAGCAGAAGGGAGAGATGATAGGATAGAAGAGGAGAGAGTAGTGAGAGAGAGCGAACACATTGACCATCAACAGATTGCGACGGCACATGACCATCTGGGTAGGAGCTGAGTGGCTAGGGTTGGAGGAAAGGGAGACAGAAAAGGAAACAAAGTAGTGATCAGAGACCTGGAGGGGGGTTGCAGTGAGATTAGTAGGTGAACAGCCTCTAGTAAAGATGAGGTCAAGCGTATTGCCTGCCTTGTGAGTGGGAGGGGACTGGGGAAGGGTGAGGTCAAGAGGCAAGGAGGGAAAATAGAGCGATGGAAAGAAATTAATCGAAGGCGGACAACAAGAGGTGTAAGTCTTCAAGTATAAAGAGCGCTGAGCCATTGTCAGGAAATTAGCTTTAAGGTGTCAGGCTGATTGAGGAACTCTCTAAGGGCACCTGATGGGCGATAGATAACAACAACGTTAAGCTCGAGTGGACAATTGACAGCAAGGAATTCAAATGAGGAGATGGACATATGAGTGAGGGAGAAAATAGAAAATCTCTGCTTAGGAGAAATGAGTAGCCCTGTGCCACCACCGCGACGACCAGATGCTCTCGGACTATGAGAGAATACGTAGTCAGATGAAGAGAGAGTAGCTGGAGTAGCAGTGTTCTCTGGGGTGATCCATGTCACTGTCAGGGCCAAAAAGTCAAGGGACTGAAGGGCATCATAGGCGGAGATGAACTCTGTGTTCTTGACCGCAGATCGGCATTTCCAAACGCTGCCAGAGACCAAGAATTCCAAATGGGTTGTGCACACAGGGTACATTAAATTAGAAGGGTTGCAGCCAAGGGGTGGGGAGTGTCTGTGAAGCCTACAACGAGAGGAGCGAACAGGTATAGAACACACACAAATAGTTGCCGAAGCTACAAAAGAGCAAAATTAGTGAGAGAGTGGTGTGACTCCTTCCTTGAACAACTCGGCAGAACCGTCTTTGTTTCAGCGACGGTCTTAGTTGTGTCGACAAGACCACCACTGATATGACCGCTGCTTACAGCTGTCGCTGAGAAAGCAGGGGAGACTGAAGTACTAACACTAATTGCTAATTGCCTTGCAAAGGTGAAGAGCACACCTCCCGGTACTAATTTCTAATTGCCTAGGAGAGGAGGACCACTCCCCCTCCAATACAGCCACTGATTACCAAAACAACAACAGTCCCAAATTGCCCCGCCCCTTGATCCTGGTTGATGTGTCAACAATCATCTGGAAGTTATGAGCAGTCAGCAGTTCACACACCAAGTAGGCTACTGGGAAGACAGGCAGCACTTAATGTAGATGGTCCTAGCTAGCAAAAAGACAGCACTAGACAACAACAGATTAAGACAAATTATACTTATCACTCCTGGAGATATCATGAGTCCTCTAGCTATAAAATGAATCACACTGAGATGGAGCCTGAGAAGCTGGTTATATACACTTAGAAAAGAGGTGAAACCACTCCCCCTCCAATTCAGGAGTCCTAACTATAGAATGAAGCACATAGAAACAGACAGCAAAAAGTCATCCAATACAAACACAGATAATCAGACAGTAAAAAGGAATTTGTTACAAATTAGATGGTAAAATATAATCCAGAACAGGTCCACTCACGTAGTTCCAGGAGCTGATGATTGGCCTGATTGGCCATCGTTAATCCACTCCCAAACCCCCTCTGTATTGGTGTCATGGAAACCAAGGTAGATGTTCAGGCATCCAACCCATTGATGGATAAATTCCTATTGTTTTGTCACAAAGAAAAGATCACATAATTTTATCACATACAAACATGCTTTTGTGTCAGGGTAGGCAAACAGAGTTGAAATAGTAACAAAATGTTGAAATTATCAAAAATATAATTGACTAACTCTCTCTCCTCTCTCTCACCTGTTCAGCTCTGCTGTTAATGATCACCAGGTGTGCGCCTCTCCCCAGACAGTCCTGCCTGCTCTCAGTCCAGGATTTCTTCTCAGTAGAGAGGAAGTACCAACTGGAATTGAACTTCCTCCATCCTTGGGGACAGGACCGTAGAGGTTATTTAATGACAAACCCATGATAGCGATCACATTTGTCCACATCAGGGACAAAATAGCACCTTATTCCCTATGTAGTGCACTACTTTCGACCAGGACCCAAATGGCATGGTCATTTGGAAACAACAATGTCCTCTGTGACTTTCAGTGGGAATAGAAGCTTGTCCCTTCTGTTCCCAAAAATATTTAGACCTAGATTCAATCAGATCAAGTGTTAAGGCGATAGCAGACAGCTGTATAGCGGATGTTTTGGTGGTGTTGGAGGTGGAACTGTGTTAGATTCATGAGTAGCTGCTCCTGTGATCAATATCACGAAGCCACACCCACCCTACTTGTGTTAGAAGTTCAGAACGAGAAAGTGTAAAGAAATAGAAATAATAATGCTCAAATGGAAAAACCATTCATGGAAATAATGAAGATTTCTATCATCCTAATCACAGTCCAGCATTCGAACTTGTAAACAAGGCTGCATGGGATCTCTTAATGCGAATCTGTGCAGCCAATGGCAACGTCTGCTTTATGTACACTGAGTGTACATTAGGAACACTTGCTCTTTCCATGATATCGACTGACCAGGTGAATCCAGGTGAAAGCTATGATCCCTTATTGATGTCACCTGTTAAATCCACTTCAATCAGTGTAGATGAAGGGGAGGAGACAAGTTAAAGAAGGATTTTTAAGCCTTGAGACAATTGAGAAGTGGATTGTGTATGTCTGCCATTCAGAGGGTGAATGGGCAAGACAAAAGATTTACAGTGAGGGAATAAAGTATTTCATCCCCTGCTGATTTTGTACGTTTGCCCACTGACAAAGAAATGATCAGTCTATAATTTTAATGGTAGGTTTATTTGAACACTGAGAGACAGAATAACAACAAAAAAATCCAGAAATGTTATAAATTGATTTGCATTTTAATGAGGGAAATAAGTATTTGACCCCTCTGCAAAACATGACTTATTACTTGGTGGCAAAACCCTTGTTGGCAATCACAGAGGTCAGACTTTTCTTGTAGTTGGCCACCAGGTTTGCACACATCTCAGGAGGGATTTTGTCCCACTCCTCTTTGCAGATCTTCTCCAAGTCATTAAGGTTTCGAGGCTGACGTTTGGCAACTCGAACCTTCAGCTCCCTCCACAGATTTTCTATGGGATTAAGGTCTGGAGACTGGCTAGGCCACTCCAGGACCTTAAGGTGCTTCTTCTTGAGCCACTCCTTTGTTGCCTTGGCCGTGTGTTTTGGGTCATTGTCATGCTGGAATAACCATCCACGACCCATTTTCAATGCCCTGGCTGAGGGAAGGAGGTTCTCACCCAAGATTTGACGGTACATGGCCATGTCCATCGTCCCTTTGATGCGGTGAAGTTGTCCTGTCCCCTTAGCAGAAAAACACCCCCAAAGCATAATGTTTCCACCTCCATGTTTGACGGTGGGGATGGTGTTCTTGGGGTCATAGGCAGCATTCCTCCTCCTCCAAACACGGCGAGTTGAGTTGATGCCAAAGAGCTCCATTTTAGTCTCATCTGACCACAACACTTTCACCCAGTTCTCCTCTGAATCATTCAGATGTTCATTGGCAAACTTCAGACGGGCATGTATATGTGCTTTCTTGAGCAGGGGGACCTTGCGGGCGCTGCAGGATTTCAGTCCTTCACGGCGTAGTGTGTTACCAATTGTTTTCTTGGTGACTATGGTCCCAGCTGCCTTGAGATCATTGACAAGATCCTCCCGTGTAGTTCTGGGCTGATTCTTCACCGTTCTCATGATCATTGCAACTCCACAAGGTGAGATCCTGCATGGAGCCCCAGGCCGAGGGAGATTGACAGTTATTTTGTGTTTCTTCCATTTGCGAATAATCGCACCAACTGTTGTCACCTTCTCACCAAGCTGCTTGGCGATGGTCTTGTAGCCCATTCCAGCCTTGTGTAGGTCTACAATCTTGTCCCTGACATCCTTGGAGAGCTCTTTGGTCTTGGCCATGGTGGAGAGTTTGGAATCTGATTGATTGATTGCTTCTGTGGACAGGTGTCTTTTATACAGGTAACAAACTGAGATTAGGAGCACTCCCTTTAAGAGTGTACTCCTAATCTCAGTTCGTTACCTGTATAAAAGACACCTGGGAGCCAGAAATCTTTCTGATTATGAGGGGGTCAAATAGTTATTTCCCTCATTAAAATGCTAATCAATTTATAACATTTTTGACATGCGTTTTTCTGGATTTTTTTGTTGTTATTCTGTCTCCCACTGTTCAAATAAACCTACCATTAAAATTATAGACTGATCATTTCTTTGTCAGTGGGCAAACGTACAAAATCAGCAGGGGATCAAATACTTTTTTTCATCACTGTAAGTGCCTTTGAATGAGGTATGGTAGTAGGTGCCAGGTGCACCGGTTTGAGTGTGTCAAGAACTGCAAAGCTCCTGGGTTTTTCACACTCAACAGTTTTCTGTGTGTATCAAGAATGGTCCACCACCCAAAGGACATCCAGCCAATTTGACACAACTGTGCATTGGAGTCAACATGGCCCTGGCGAGTTGAGGCTGTTCTGAGGGGGGGTGCAACTCAATAATAGGAAGGTGTTCCTAATGTTTTGTACACTCAGTGTATAGTGGCAGGAGCTACTTGTGGATTTGACAGCTCTAATGCAGGTTCACCTCTGACCCCACCAAAACAACTGCTATGTGGCTGTCGGCTAAAAAAAGTCTGACCCCCACTTACTGAGAAATGAACCATCATACATTTCATCAGGAACAAAAGGTCATTCTTTATTAATCAACACAGCTCCATCCTGTTTACTTTCCAAACACTGGGAAGACACACATGACAAACAAGATGCCTATTCAGCAGCCTGGTATCAACTGATAAGCGTCCACAGCCAGCTGCCTTCTCAGAATTCTGATATCAACTGATAAGCGACCAGAGCCATCTAAGTACACAAAAAAAATCTGTCTTTGCTGACAGATCTACATGTTTTTGCCAACTCTTTGAATAGTGTACATCAACGGTTCTTAACGTTTTTTAGCTCGAGAACCAAATTAGAAATTGACCTCACTCCTTTTATCTAAAGTGTCCTCCAATGACCCAAATTATGATGAAATAGTGTTTAGATGTATTCTCATAACGTGCAACCCACCTCTCACATGCCCAGGGCCCACTTTGGGTCCCGACACATAAACCCTGGTCTACATCCAGAGTATTGCACAATTGATTGTCCAACTAATGAAATTATCAGATTTCTCTTGTATCCGTTACCTGTCAATTTACGTTTAAAAAATATATTTTGTTGGATGGGCAGAGCATACGTAAAAAATAAAACGTCACTCATTTCGAGTAATCCAATGGATTACATAAAATTCTATTATTATTGTTGAGAGATTTTTTTTTACCCCCTTTTTCTCCCAACTTTTCGTGATATCCAATTGGTAGTTACAATCTTGTTTCATCGCTGCAACTCCCTAACGGGCTCGGGTGAGGCGAAGTCGAGTCATGCGTCCTCCGAAACATGACCCGCCAAACCACGCTGCTTCTTAACCCAGAACCCAGAAGCCAGCCGCACGAATGTGTCAGAGGAAACACTGTTCAACTGACGACTGAAATCAGCTTGCAGGTGCCCGGCCCGCCACAAGGAGTCGCTAGAGCGCGATGAGCCAAGGAAAGCCTCCCCGGCCAAACCCTCCCCTAAACCGGACGACGCTGGGCCAATTATAGCCACCCTATGGGACTCCAGGTCATGATGGGATCGAAATTATATTACTTTTATTGTAATCCATCCAACCCTGATCGGTAAAGTCAAGCGCACCTAAAATATTAAAGAAAGAAAACAAATAGGCTACTATTTGGATCTAGCCAGGCCCCCAATGTCCGGTCTGGAGCGTGAAGTCAAGAGCTCTGCTGGTGGGCTACTGCATAGCAACCTAGCGGTGCCCAAAAACAACCTGGTCTGTCCATTACGATCGCCAGAACGGCACCACATTTTTTTTAGATGCCGTTTAGGCCTCTAAAATTAGTTTACTATGATCAAGTTCGATCGCCACAGTGAATTATTTTAAAGTTCTCTACAAATCAGGAAATTTAATTAAATAGTGATACATTCTGACCACTACATTTGTTGTCACACAGGACCACGTGCTGACACAGACTAATCACGGGCCAGCAGGCTACGAGGCTCGTGACCACATGCTGACACCAACCAATCACAGGCCGGTAGGCTACGAGGAGTCTCCCGTCCTCAAGCACACTCACGCAGGCAAGATGGAAACAACAACATCGACCATGATCCTTTGCTAGTTACGGCTCATTTCAACATGATCCTTAGCGATTTTTTGGTGCCATTCAGCCACATTCAGCAAAATGGCATGCTTCAAATTAAAATACTTCCGGCTTCATTTGCCATCGGGAGTTTTCCATTGGAAATATGTGGACGACATCAGCGCTATCACTGTGTACTGGTTTTAATGTCTATGGATCTAGCAGGTCTGGAGTACTGTGAAAAAGTCAACTGATCTAGCAGATCTGGAGTACCACAAAACAGTCAAGTCATTTGCCAGTTTCTTACCACTGTTCTGTTTGTTTAGCTCTTCCTTCAAGTGGTCTCTCTCTGTAGTCAGGGTGTTGTAACTGGTCTGTAACTGGTTTCTCTCTTTACTCAGGGTGTGGTAACTGGTCTGTAACTGGTCTCTCTCTTTACTCAGGTTGTTGTAACTGGTCTGTAGCTGGTCTCTCTCTTTAGTCAGGGTGTTGTAACTGGTCTGTAGTGGGTCTCTCTCTTTAGACAGGGTGTTGTATCTGGTCTGTAGCTGGTCTCTCTCTTTGGTCAATGTGTTGTAACTGGTCTTTAACTGGTCTCTCTCTTTGGTCAATGTGTTGTAACTGGTCTTTAACTGGTCTCTCTCTTTAGTCAGGGTGTTATAACTGGACCCCTGGGATCTCTCTGCAGAGTAGTAATGACCAATGACTCGGTTATCTGTCGGAATAGAAACATACAAAATTCAGCCACACAAGTGGATATAGTATACACATAGTGGATATAGTATACACATAGTGGATATAGTATACACATAGTGGATATAGTATACACATAGTGGATATGTGTATATAGTATACACATAGTGGATATAGTATACACATAGTGGATATAGTATACACATAGTGGATATAGTATACACATAGTGGATATAGTATACACATAGTGGATATAGTATACACATAGTGGATATAGTATACACATAGTGGATATAGTATACACAATCATTTCCCTATTGTGGTCCTTTGAACATCTAAGTATTAAACTACTGATGATGAAGAATATATTAGTGAAAACATCATAAACTTATAAACTTACAGTAGACAGACAGGCCTATGATCCCAGCCAGTAGGAGAACACACAGCAGCCCCAGACACACTGCAGCAACTCCAGAGGGTCTCTTCCACCACTGAAAATTAGCTGAATCACATGGTATTATACACCCTCTCGGGTAATGTTACATTTTTTAAAATATCATCCAGAATTGTGAGGGAGCAAATAGGTACTCGTCTGAGAAAGTGGTTTGTGTGCGTGTGTCTGTTTCTCTGTGTGTCTGTACTTGCAATGATACCTGAAAATGTAACACCAACGTCATCCCTTTTTCTGGGCTTGTTGACATATTTGCCTTTATCAATATCCATGGTCTGCATTGTTGGATTCTCCACCTGTGTTTGTATAGATTTTTCTCTTACATTTTTACACTCAAAATGTGTATCTGTGCCTTATGTATCGTTATATGAAATACTGGAGGTGAGCTTGACTCAGTACAGAGGAAACAATGGTATAGTCCCAAAAATGCAAACTCAATTAGTGACACAATACTCTGCTTAGGTAAAATATTATATTCCTATTTAAAACATAAAGTTGTGTATCTCTAACAGTGCATAACATTAGCATTTATTAATCAGGTGAAAATAAGAAGAAAAATCTTACCACGGTCTTTGAGAGTTGAATAGAAATGCATCCAAATATGTTACATAAGGGTTTTTAAAAAGGACCAACGTAACCAGATGTACTGAGTGAGCACGAAATGTAAGATTGGAGTTAAGTGTCCTTGTGTGTTTTTTTGTCCAAACCACTGCACATTTTGTGTCAACATCAGCATTTCCTTTGCCTTATTTGGCCAAACAATTATGAACTAATATACCACTGGACAATAGGTTCAGATATATGCTAGCATGTGGTTAACTTGGGCTTATCCAGAAAACGTGTGAGTGGTTGGAAACAGGCAGTATGTGTAACTAATGTTCACAGTCAACTGAATGTTCAACTTCCAGAATCCTGCACAGAAATGTGGGGTCATTTTGAATATTAAAAAAACATAAGGACACTTAACAATGCTCAATCACTACATTTCGTTACGCTTGTCTTGACAACAAACCAATATAGACTATATATATAATATATATTTTCTTCTTGTCAACTGTTATGATTATGTCATAGTTTATGCATTGTCTGATTCTTATGAAATGAGTTAGAAGCTCTGGGGCAATCAAAATACATACAGGACAATGGGTTTACAGATATAGAATTTGTGCTTTAAATATAAATATTTTACCCAATAGGAGCATGTTTTGCTAGTTGGGCAGAGTTTGCACCTTTGGGACTATCCCATTGGTTCCTTTGCACTGGGTAAGCTGAATCGTGCGAACCTCAAGTTTTTGACGTATGCAAACGCAGGTGTAGTTGAAAGCAAAAAATCCAACTAGAGCAATGCAGACCATGGATATTGATGACAGCTATGCTGACAGGCCCATAAAGATGGATGCCGTTAGTGTTACATTTTCAGGTTTCAATGCAAGTACAGACAGACACATAGACAGAAACACACACACACTTACACACTACTCATTTCATAAGTAGAATGAACACATGGTCCATATTCAACGGCTGTCATTTAAATATATTGATAACTGTAAAAACGTACAAATGAAAACAGTATGTGGTTAAATAGTTATATCACACCATAATGGTAAATATTGATATTTCAACCACAGCCTATTAGACAACAGTTCCACTCCCAGGGCCTGATGAATGTTGGACAAACTCCACATAGACCTGGTCTCTTTAAAGACATCAAATACATATTTCAATTTAATTACAAATAGAAACAACAACAGCTCAACTCTTAATTGGATTACCAATACAACTCCATTAGACATGGGCTGAAAGCGTGGCACACTATCGGTTTCCTCCAGACGTGATGCTTGGCATTCAGACCAAAGAGTTCAATCTTGGTTTCATCAGACCAGAGAATCTTGTTTCTCATGGTCTGAGTCTTTACGTGCCTTTTGGCAAACTCCAAGCGGGCTGTCATGTACCTTTTACTGAGGAGTGGCTTCCTTCTGGCCACTCTACCATAAAGGCCTGATTGTTGGAGTGCTGCAGAGATGGTTGTCTTACTGGAAGGTTCTCCCATCTCCACAGAGGAACTCTGGAGCTCTGTCAGAGTGACCATCGGGATCTTGGTCACCTCCCTGACCAAGGCCCTTGCTCAGTTTGGCCGGGCAGCCAGCCATAGGAAGAGTCTTGGTGGTTCCAAACTTCTTCCATTTAAGAATGATGGAGGCCACTGTGTTCTTGGGGACCTTCAATGCTGCAGAAATATTTTAGTACCCTTCCTCAGATCTGTGCCTTGACACAATCCTGTCTCGGAGCTCTACGGACAATTCAACCTCATGGCTTGGTTTTTGCTCTGACATGCACTGTCAACTGTGGGACCTTATATAGACAGGTGTGTGCATTTCCAAATCATGACCAATCAAGTTGTAGAAACATTTCAAGGATGATCAATGGAAAAAGGATGCACCTGAGCTCAATTTAGAGTCTCATAGCAAAGGGTCTGAATAATTATGGAAATAAGGTATTTCTGTTTTTAATTTTTTTTAAATTTGCAAACATTTCTAAAAACCTTTTTTTGCTTTGTCATTATGGGGTATTGTGTGTAGATTGTTGAGGAGAAAAATTAATTTTGTACATTTTAATCATTTAGCAGACGCTCTTATCCAGAGCGACTTACAGTTAGTGAGTGCATACATTATCCTTTAATTTTTTCATACTGGCCGCCCTTGGGAATCGAACCCACAACCCTGGCGTTGCAAACACCATGCTCTAACAACTGAGCTACATCCCTGCCGGCCATTCCCTCCCCTACCCTGGACCAATTGTGCGCCACCCCATGGGTCTCCCGGTCGCGGCCGGCTACGACAGAGCCTGGATACGAACCAGGATCTCTAGTGGCACAGCTAGTACTGCGATGCAGTGACTTAGACCACTGCGCCACTCGGGAGACATTAATGTAATCCAGTTTAGAATAAGGCTGTAACATAACAAAATGTGGAAAAAGTCAAGGGGTCTGAATACTTTCTGAATGCACTGTATTATTTATCAAAGTGCAGCTGCTACTACTCTGAAACCTTTGGATGTCATCTACCGTACATTCTTAGAAAAAAGGATTCCAAAAGGCTCTTGGTGGTTGTAGCCTTATCCTCCTTTAACTTTTAATTCCGCTATTTTAATTCCATCTTCCACTGAGTGGAGCATGGGGAGGCCTCTAGCGGAGAAATTATATTTAAAAAATATGACTAGTATTCTTTTGTATTATTGTACCCAGCTCATGAGGCCCCTTGATGTAATGAGGCCTGAGGTATTTCCCTCTTCTGCCAAATGGTAAGTCCCCCAGTGGCTGCAACGAAAGGGTTCCGGAAGTGGATTCTCAATCCTTGTATTCTGTGGCGATATTAAATATTAGTGTGTAACATAGACGTTACATGTTCTACCGAGATTGCAAAACAATTAGTATGTTGACGTAGTTCCCGTCGGTTTTGAATGTATCAACCTCTGTGATTGAATAGAGCTCACCAGCTTGTAGTCCTAAAAAAAAAACCTCTGGTTCATTCAGCCATTCCTATGAGGGAAATGAATGGGGAAAGAATGGGGTTTTGGGATAAATGCCAACCATAAGGTCTGAGGTTAACACAGATTTAGGAGAGGGTTATATATTTAGTTCTATGAAATCATATCAGTTAGTTGACATGACCTTTATGAATTATAAAGCGTTTAAGTGCTTTATGGGCTTGTTTTGATTACATAAATGCTTCGGAATTCACAAAAAGTGAATATTTCCCCATGGGCTCTGGCCAACGAGCCATGGCAGAGTTAGTGCAGTACAAGAATTGACCACTAGATGGTTGAATTGTCATCTGTGGACATGTGAACAGACCAAGGTGCCCGTTCAGCGGGATGCAACGTTTTGGAACGTTCAGATAGAAATAGGCAATGTAGATCAAACATGCCTCTTTGACGTGTAGAATAAGGAATCACATCCGCTTTGTTGATGCCATTTCCGTCTGCAACGTTCGACCACGTTTGGCCCGAGGCTCTTTCGCAATCGTCTCCTCTCCTTGTCTCCACCCCTACATCTGCACTAATTGGCTTCACAGGTGAAAACAATATAGTGGAAGGAAGCTCGTCATTAGACTGGCTTAGCTTTCACCTGGTCACTTTTTTTCTTTCAGATCAGTGAAGGAGAGGAAAGATTTTTAGATGACTGAGAACGAGCCCAAGTGTATGGGGTTAGTGACAGTGTATGGAGTTAGTGTTGTGTTGTTGAATTAACTGAATCAGCTGCGTTATTACTCCGCTGGGCTGAAAAAGAAGCCTTCACGGGCTACAGCTCTTTTGGGCTAGTTGTGGTGAGCGCTGCTGTTGCACATGGTGATGTGTATGTAAAAATAAATAATGTATGCACTCACTAACTGTAAGTCGCTCTGGATAAGAGCGTCTGCTAAATGACTAAAATGTAAATGTGTGAAACTTACTCCTCAGCCTGAAGTGTCCTCACTTGTGCCAGCGAATAGCTAGCTTTTCACGTGGCGCTGACTGGTAAGACTCTTCAGGGGGGTGGTCACGTGTGCTAGCAAGGCAGTGGTCCTGAGATCAAGCCTGGTATGGACCGAATCGGGAGGAAGTGGTACTCGCTTAGCAAGCAGCGTGACGTCCTTTACACTGACATAGGTTGTCATGCATGGTCACTGAGCATTCACACAGAATGGATGTATATGCTTTTTACAGGAATCATACCAGGAATCTTATGCATTCTTGGTCACATGCACACGTGCGCCAAGCCTCTCTGCAAACATGCTCTAACATGCAGGACAACAACCATAGTTTATGATCCCTCACAGTGTGTGTGTGTGTGTGTGTGTGTGTATTGTAAGTTGGGTTCAGTGTATGTTTCCGACCCCCCGATTTAAAAAAAACATTTTAGTCATTTAGCAGACGCTCTTATCCAGAGCGACTTACAGTTAGTGAGTGCATAATTTTTTTCATACTGGCCCCCCGTGGGAATTGAACCAACAACCCTGGCGTTGCAAGCGCCATGCTCTACCAACTGAGCTACACGGGACCAGATGTTACAGTATAGTCTTAAAACACAACAGATAGCAACATCTATACATGAAAGGGTTCCCTATTCACTATGCTGTGCCCTACTTTCACCAGGGCTAGTGCACTGTTGTAGGGGAGGCCGGTGGGAGAGAGTTTCAGAAGAGCAAACTGCTATTTGGCTTAAAGGTAATTTGAAAAGCAGCATTTATTAAGTGCTGATAGCTCCTGACAAACGACTCTCTCTCTCTCACCCCTCTCCCTC